GCTCGCTCCGCAGTGCCCACGGTGCTATGGGCCCAGAAAACAGCCTGAAGCACAACTCCGCATCTGTTTGATTCAGCGTGTAGACGTTTGGCGCGGTTGTGAGCACAATCCTCACCATGGATGTTCCTGAAGCTTGAATGTGTAATCGAATGGCCTTTGGCCCATCCCACCACCGTACCTGGGTTGTGGGTCTGAGGCCTCCTGGATGGTCGTGGGGATCTCGTCGAAGCTTCTCGAGCGCTTCCTGGAGAGCTTTGAGGATTTTGGGCGGCTGTTTGGGGGCGTCTTTGGTGCCTCTTGGGGCCTGGTGGGGGTCTCTTGGGGCCTCTTCGGGCCTCCTGGGCACGTCGTGGGGCGGAAGGCTCGGATTTTCGGTTCGTGTTCCCCCTCTTGGGCCCCTCTTGGGGCCGCCTTGTGGCCTTCTTGCTCTTGGGCCGTCTTTGATGCCTCTGGCGCCGTCTTGGGGCCCACTTGGGCCCTCTGGTGCCGTCTTATGGCGGTTTGGGGGGTCTCTTGGGAAATATTGGAAGGTCGGCACCTACAAAAGTGTAGAATCCCAAATATTGAAAAAAAAAACCGTTGGACAACAGATGAGTTTGGCTTCTCGGGACCCTCTTGCGAAAGCTCTTGGGCCTCTCAGGGTGTCTCGAAGGCTTTTTGGGGACGTCTTGAGGCCAGCCATTTTGGGCGTCTTGAACCGATCGTTCGGCGATCGGGGTGGGTCTTTTGGAGCCATCTTGGCTGCATTGGAAGCGTCTTGGCCGTCTCACGGGCGTTTCTAAGCGATTTTCCAGTTCGCACTCATCTGTCCGTATGGCTGGAGGTATGCGCCGAAGGCAACTGGGAACCTCTGGGAACAGCTTAAAACAATTCAGAGAACTAGCACGCCGTGCGCCCTTGTGACCCCTCTTGGTCCGTCTGGGAGCCCTCTGGGCCCGAAAGGTACGCGGGGAGGTGCCGGGAACCTCGGGGGGCACGCGGCCAGCCCAGGGAGCCTCCTCCTCCTCCTCCCTCCTCCTTCTCCTCCTCCTCTTCCTCCTCCTCCTCCTCGTCCTCGGCTTCCCCCTCTCTCGTCACAGGAGGTGCTCAGGTGAATCTACCAGCCACGGCGAATCCAGATTTCGCTTCAGCTGTAGATGACAACAAGGACCCCCCCAACGAGAGAGCTCCCCAGTTTAACGAGGCCCCTTCCCCTTCCAACTCCACTGCTCCTGCGGGTGCTCCTGCTTTCGCCCTCCCCTCCGATCTGTGGAACTTGGCTCGAGCTCAGGCAGGGTTTCAAGCACAAGCTCCTTCCCAGGTCTGGGAGCCAGTGAGGGGATCCCTCGCATTCAAAGTTGGAGGCCCACACATCCTCCACGTCAGCAGTGCATATGCGGCATGGATCAGCAGCGTCGAGTAGGCGTACCGTACCCATCACGACCTAGGGCCGTCGGACAAGCCGACACGAGCTCAAGGTCCCACGTT